GATCTTTGGAGGAAAAGTACTACTTACTCTTTTAGAACACTTGTAGATTTCTTTTTGTACGATAAGTCCCATAATACTTACTTATTGCCTCTAGGTCTCATATTACCCTAGAGAAGGTAGGTGTACAGACCAACCTTGCTAGGCATTCTGTCAGGTCCCAGGATGGCTGCTATAAACTGAACCAAAATGGACGCCTGACCATCTCTAAGGTGTTTGCTCTTTTGGATTGCTTCATTTTCCATTGGTAAAGCCTGTTAATCCTTGGGTTGCTGGGCTGCCATTTAAGGCACTGAAAAGCAAGCATTTATCTAGTGGAGCCTTATTACTTTCTTGTGTTTCTTCCATGCGGTGCATGCCAACTGTTAATAGATCATATTGTTGAAAAGCAGGTAATTTTTGATAGATTCTAAAAATAAAAGTTACAGATATTGCTTATATTTTATATTTAAATATATTTTTAGAGGCCTCATTTAGCTCAAAAAACAAAGTTTCAGGATACTTCATGAAATAACTATACTAACAATATGTTCTGTAAACAATGTAATACATAATGAAAGGCAGTCTTTATAGACATTACATTAATTTCAGTTAAATGTATCACTCATTCTTTTGATAATATAATTATAGTCTATGTCATGATATTTTATAATTTTAACCTTATATTCAGAACCAAATTCCAGTTGGTTCTAAACTTGATTCCTTTGTTTCCTCTTGGAATCTAGGATGACATTTAAAAATAGCTTTTCTTCAGTGGGGGATTGACACAACAAGGTTAAGTCTTCTCTAATGTTCTGTGTATATATGCATGTATATATAAACCTGAACCAAATTGACTAAAATGAAAAACTCAGTGGATGCATTTGTAACAGCTCATCTGTAGCGGTGCTTGCAAACATGGTGCTCCCTCATATGACATAAAGATATCCCTGGGCAAATGAAAACATTGGTCTGGTCCATAGTTATAACTTGTTCATTTTAGGGCCTTAACCTAATTCAGCCTATTTATGTGGAATTGGCCAGTAATAGTTCATTTTCATATGGGCTCTTTCAGTATAAACAGGAAATTGACATTGAAAACAGGGCCAATTGTCTTGATCACATCAACTTTCTCTGCACCAGTATCCCCCCCATCAACAACAGAAGGCAGTATATCACCTTGTAAAATAGTTCACCAAAAGATTTATTTTTTCTAACCCTCTTCAGACTCTGATAGTGTCTAATGTCTCAACACCAGATGTACCAGTATGATTGATAAATATTGATATATAATTTTATATGTGATTGCTGAACAGGACTTAATAAAAAAGGAGAGCATCTTACAGCTGGTGTCCTAGGTAAAATATATAGTGTTCACAAGTCTTCTCAAGCATAGGGATTTTTACCTGCTGACTCTAATATGCCTTTGTTGTACTTTCTAAACTTCTTTTTTGGAAAATAATTTATTTATATCATTGAGGATTTATATCAGAATAAATTATTACCTAACCTTGAACCTACCATAGCCAGCTTTGTCATGTACACTAATGTGAATGAATTTAGAAAGACAGTAGAAACATTCCCCCATACTTAGAGAATGTCATTTATTTCTACCATTTATACTTAAAATCTTTGTAGATTATAAAATATTTTCAGAATGCCTCAGATAGTACACAGAATAACAAAGAAAAACCATGTACTCCTGGTTTTTTCAGATCTTAAAATTTAACCATATTTGAAGAATTTGAGCAATTGAAATCTTCAGTATAACTTTTATTTCCTCCCTTCAAAGAAGTACTATGCTGAATTTGGTATTTATAATTCTGTTGAATTTTTACATACTTCATATCTCTCTCTATCTATCCACCCACCCACCCTCCTACCCACCCACCTTCCTACCTATCTGTATACTCTTAATTGAGATATAACATTATTTTGCATATAAAGTTAAAATTTTTGTAAATGATATCCCTGAAAGTATTCTTCCCTAACTTGCTAGTATCAATCAGTATTAATGTTCTGAAATGTGTCCATATTTGTAGATGGGGCTGGAGTTAATTCATTTTAATTTTAAGGTATTAGACTGTACAGTTAGAGGATGTAGTCTCCAAAAGACCACTCACAATTATAATACCAGCTGCTAGATTGTGGGTTCTACAGAATTACCCTCAGGTTTGATTATTTACTACATGGACTTGACAGAGTTCCTTAAAAGCTGTTATTGTTTTAGTTTATTCGAGGGAATACATATAGATTGAAGTTAGTCAAGTAAAGAGGTGTGTAAGACAGAGCCCAGAAGGGTTCCCAATGTGGAGTTTCCAGTTGTGCTTTGACTACTTACAAGTATTGAGGTGAAATTCTTTACTACAACATATGAATATATATTTTCTTTTATTTATTCTTCTCTTGATGGATATTTGGGTTGTCTGTGATATATATAAAATACTACCTCTTAATGAACACATATATTTCTGTATGGCATGTACTAACTTTTTTACAAATATTAATTCCTTTCTTGCCCAAAAGGACACTTATTATATAAGTCAGTGATATTATTCTATACCTGAGAAAAATAGGATACAGGTAGGCTAAATATCTCATTCAAGGTCACAGAGCTAGTAGATGGAATAGTTGGTAAATGAACTTAGGTAGTCAAAATTCTTCCTCTTAACCTTATGCTGTGCACATTTATCTGTATATGTATGAGGCTTGGTAAAAGCCCTATATCTAACAATAGAATTGATGCTCTGTGGATACATGAATCTTGAACTTGACTAGATTTGCCAAAATGTTATACAAACTTTTTAAGCAATTAGTTTAAACAATTAGTAATATAAAATATATATCTTTGCCAGTCTGTCGTTTGTCTTTACTTTTTTGGTTCAGATATTTAAATGTTTAAAGTGTTCCATTTCCAGGGGCTGGGGAGGTGGCTCAAGCGGTAGCATGCTTGCCTGGCATGCGTGCGGCCCGGGTTTGATCCTCAGCACCACATACAAAGATGTTGGTCTGCTGAAAACTAAAAAAATAAATATTAAAAAA